AGTTGCATTTTTGCAAATGAACACTCCTAAGTGGCATTTTTGCAAATGTGCACATAAAAAGTGGCATTTTTGCAATTTCCCCTTAAAAAAACCTTAAAATTAATACAAAAATCAATCTATTAGAAACATAAAGATTATTAAATATTGATTAGCTTAGATTGTTCAAATATATTTCATTGAATATTAAATGTATAATATACCAAAATTATATGTTCGTTATTCGAAATAAGTAATTAGTCTTGTATTGAATGAAAATATAAATTTACAATCATATATATAATACAGAAAAATATGTAAATTTTATTAATGTCATTGAGCTCCAAAATCCAACAATATGCTTTGATGAGGAAATGTTGTGAAAATTGTATGTACTTCTAAAAATCAAGGTCGTATACATGTCCTTGGAAAGCAAGATCATACGAATTTCTTTTCTGGGGAAATAACGAGAAGAATCCAAAATTCCCCAAGCTTAGTTGACTTAAACCATCTAAGTAGGTACACGTATCAGAGAAAATTTGGAAAAATGCCTTATTTGTGTTTTAAATTTTGAAAAATACACTTTATTTTTTATTTTTTAAATACACTTTGATATGAAATTTACTAAAATAACTTTAATAAAGCTGAATAAATATATTTATATGTTTTTTGAAAATTAAAATTAATTTTCTTGACGATAGTATTATAATCATGAATAAATAACATTTAATTATTTTAATTTTGATGTTATCAAAAATTTTGTACCTATCATTACGTTTAATTGACATAGTTGAATATGGAACAAATTTTTGGTTACGAAAATAAGTGACTTTCTCGGTTTCACTAAAACAAATCAAATTGATTGGTTTGCAAATATTTAATCGAACATTTATTATGCAAGGGCATGTTCATCTTTTTCTCCATCAAAATTGTTGACCCAGTTCTTTGCATAACATCTATTGAAATTTATACTCATCACAATCGTTCATCATATCTATCGGATTTATCCGTCGTCACCGTCGAATTCTTTTGTCCTAAATTTTGGAAATGGTACAATCAATATAATATATAGAGTTATTTGCTAAGAAATTAAGTCTTTGTGCTAATTTTTGTTCTTAAGTTTGTTTTTGATGNTGCATGCTCAATGCACGGTGTTTTGCTTTGAATANTTATGCGGCTTAATTATGTACAAACCAACATGATTCACATATTGTGTTGGAGCAAAGTCTTTCTGATTTCTATAATGTACTAAAAAGTAAAGCTCTAAAACTAGAGTGTTCAGTAACGTATCTATATTTATTTCTATAGAAATCAAAATTTTAAATCAAAATTTTTTTTATCTCA